AGTGCTTTGCTTATCCAAGGTCTCTTTCCCTTCCGTATAAAATTAGTGATTGGTTTTTTCATGTCTTTAATGAATGTTGAAGGAGCTCTGGTAGCAAAGTGCATAAGGCACTTGACTGCTAACCAGAAGGCTGGTGGTTCAAATCCACCAGCCACTCCTCGGAAGGAAGATGGGGCAATCTACTTCCGTAGTGATACTACCTTGGAAACCCAAGGAGGGGTTGCTATGAGTCGGGTCCAAATCGAGGGCACATAACAACAAACAACAACAATGATAAGAATGCCCAAATGTGCATTAAGGATGCTTTAATAAAAGGCTGGATAAAAGGTAGTAAATACTTCCAAATATGAGACAACAAAAACCCAGTGGACCACAATGGTCTGATCTCCAATCAATCTGACGATGGAGCGGGACCAGACAGCATTTTCTTCCACTGTGCATGGGGTCACCATGAGTTGGGGACTGACTCAACAGCAGTTAAAAAAACAAGAAAAAGTTCTACCAACTACCAAGATTCACCCAGAAAAAAATCCTTAGTCTTCCTTTTAATAACTGAACACACATACACTGAAACACTTTCCAAGGTCACTTCTTTTAATATATTCCTCAAATGAATGTTACATATAAATACATCTCAATCATTCTGGCAATATTCTCTGAGAAGTTAGGTCACACAAGTTCACTCTAGGCTGGCTATGCTAAGTCTACTTCACTCTTTCCAATGCAACTGATATAGTTAAAATACTATAATTAAAAATGACATGCCTAGAAGGCATCAATGTTTACTTTTACTGTACATATAAACTTAATGAAATAAATAATTCAAAAAATATTACCATACACTATGTACTATGCAAGCATTCAGTTTTCTAACAGTCACAATTTTACACAGAATTTGAACACTGTGTTGATGTAAGGACATGTTGTCTAATCAGAAAGTGTTCCTGAAAATAGCGGGGATTAACAGCATGTTCCAATGGGGGATTAAAAGCATGTTCCAATGGAAGGAGTCCTGTACTGATAGTTAGATGACTTGTATAATAACCCACTTGCCAACACAGCTATGAGAATATGCATATTAATTACTTTTATCTATTCCCTAGGTTTTTCCTTAGCCAACTCAATTAAAATGGATTTTGTGAGAATTAGTGAGTTATAAAACAAATGAAGGAAAGGTACTGTAGTCTCTTATTTATATTATTATTCATAATTATTATTAATAGTACTCATAATGAAAATATTGTGAAGGAAATACTTTAGAACTCCTTTAATTTCCCTCCACTCTATGATCAAACATTTTGGAAAATACAAGAAGAAAGCTAATCACACTTTTGGGGCTTTTACCATATGCAGCCTACTCTTTTGCCAAGCAAAGATAAGGATTTATGTCTTCTTAGGCTTTTCCTCAAACCAGTTTTACAGCAATCTAACATGACAGGTAGAAGTTCAGGGTCTGAAAAACTGAAATGGAAGATTTGCAGACTTACATCCTCAAAATTGTTGCTATGTTTGAGCCCGTTGTTGAACTACTGTGTTGCAACAATCCATCAATCCATCTCATTCAAGGTCTTTCTCTTTTCTCTGACCCTCTACCAAGCATGATATCCTTCTCCAGAGCCTGAGCCCTCCTGATAACATGCCCAAAGTACGTGAGATGAAGTCTCACCACCCTCTTTTTGTTTTGTTTTGTTTTTAATTATGATTTGGGTGAAAATTTACAGAGCAAATTCACTTTCCATACAGCAGTTCACATACATTTTGTCTCATGACATTGACTACAATTTACCACAATGCAACAGCTCCCCTCAACTTCCTCCCGATAGTTACTTCTTCCCTGTGTCCTTCCCTCCATGCACTCCTGCCCCCTGAGCTGCCTCCCTGTACATACACAGCCCTTCTATTCTCCCACAATTGTTCTCTGCAAGGAGTGTTATCTACCTAGAGCAAATGTTCACCACATATGTCTGTCTTTTGTTTGTCTGGAAGCCACAGGTGTGTGTTCAATTCCAGACCTGAAGGGCAGCTAAGGGCCAAAATCTCAGTGGTCCCATCAGGCTCCATCAAACCAGCAAACCTGGTCCCTTTTTTCTTCCAAATGTTTTTGAGTTTTGTTCCACATTGTTCTCTTACTCATCCAGGACCAACTACATAGATCCCCCTCCAAGTGGTTGACAGTGGTAGCCGGCCACCATCTAGTTCTTCTGGTCTCATAGTTGTATAGCCTGAGGATCACACGGTGTACCAGTCACTTGGACTAATTGTTCCTATGATTCTTTAGTTTTCTTCATTCTTCTCTGCTCTGGACGAGGAGAGACCCATCGTTGCTTCTAAATGGCTGCTTGCAAACTTTTAAGATCCCAGTTGCTACTTCCCAAAGTAGGATGTGAAACAATGTTTTGTATAGTATGTTATGCCAATTGAGACTGACGTCCCCTGTGCCTATGGTCTTGAGCCCAGAGGTCCAACTACTTATGCCCTCTGGGTAGCTGGCTGTGGCCAAGAAGTGACTACAACCTTGTCCCTTGTCAGTTCTACTATATACCTGGGAATTCTTACAGAACATACCAATACACTTATAGAAACATTGTCGTCATCCTCTCTTCTAAGGAGCATTGTGACAAAGGACTTATCTCTAAAATTTATAGAAAACTCCAACACCTCAACAACCAAAAGATTAACAATCCAATTAAAAAATGGGCAGAAGATATGAACAGACAGTTCACCAAAGAGGATATTCAGGTGGCCAGCAAATACATGAAGAAATGCTCACGATTCATTAGCCATCAGAAAGGTGCAAATCAAAACAACGAGATACCATCTCACCCCAGCATTTGATAATAGCAAATATCAACAAGACAGAAAATAACAAATGCTAGTGAGAATGTGAGGAGCTCTGATAGCATAGTGCCTAAGACACTTGACTGCTAACCAGAAGGCTGGTGGTTCAAACCCACCAGCCACTCCTTGGAAGGTTGGGCAAT